AGTTTATATCATATTGGAATTAATTATTCTGAAAGGTATTGGGATAATTCACTTGTAAATCCATCTGGTCCTGGGTTTTTTTTTCCCCCTTAGGGATCTCATTTATGGCTTGTTCAATTTCTTTTTCTAGGATAGGGTTATTTAAATATTCTGCTTCCTCTTCTGTTAATCTGGGCAATTTGTATTATATAAATATTTCTACATTTCATTTAGATTATTAGTTTTATTGGCACATAATTGGGCAAAATAGCTCCTAATAAAAAAAATCAAATTAGAGAGATCTTGAGATCCTGAGCCCCAGTGTGGTGGAGCAGGCAAATGCCAACACCAAGACCTACCATGTGCCTCAGCATAGCCAGGGGAAAGGGCAGACTCTAGCTCTGAGAACCAGCAAGTACTTCAGTATAGCCCAAGGAAAACAGATGACCTCCAGCAAGCAGACTTCCACGTGCTTCCATGCTTCAGTGTAGCCCCAGGGAAATGTAGAGATACCCCACCTACCTCAGCATATGCCAGATACTAGCACTCGGACCCCAGCTCAGCACCACGTAAACTGCCAGACCCCTATGGCCTCCAGCAATGCTAGTCACCCCAAACTCTACCCCCTTGGCACAGCACCAGACAAGAGGGTCTGCCGTGGGCCTCAGGGAAACATCAGTGCAATACCAGGCTTGCAATCCCTGGCACAAGAAGCCTGAGACAGTGCTCAAATTTAAAAGGAAGGGAAAAGGTCAAAAAAGACGAGCAAAAAACAACAAAAAAGAATCTGACCATAGAAAGTTATCATGGTGACAGGGAAGATCAAGACACAAGCTCAGAAGAGGACAACAGTGTCAAAACACCTGTGGACAAAACCCCAAAGAAAAATGGGAAGTGGTCTCAAGCCTAGAAAGAACTTATGGAAGAGCTGAAAAAGGAACTTAAAAATCATATAAGAGAAGTAGAAAAAAATTGAGAAAATAAATGAGAGTGATGCAAGAGAATTATGAAAAAAGAGTCAATAGCTTGGAAAAAGAAAACAACTGCTTAAAAATTAGAATTGGCCAGATAGAAAAGGAGATACAAAAATCCATTGAAGAAAACAACTCCTTAAGAAGTACAATTGGCAGGGGCAGCTAGATGGCGCAGTGGATAGAGCACTAGCCCTGTAGTCAGAAGGACTTGAGTTCAAATCCTGCCTCAGACACATGATACCGACTACCTGTGTGACTCTGGGCAAGTCACTTAACCCGATTGCCTTGCCAAAGGGGAAAAAAAAGAGCTGCTATGAAAAGTATAATTGGCCAAATGGAAAAGGAAGTACAAAAGTTAACTGAGGAAAACAACTCTTTAAAAGTTAGAATTGAGCAAGTGGAAGCTAATGAGTATATGAGACATCAAAATTGAATCAAATAAATTCAAAAGAATGAAAAAAAAAATAGAAGAAAATATAAAATACCTCATGGGAAAAACAATTGACCTGGAAAATAGATCCAGGAGAGACAGTGTCAGAATCACTGGACTACCTGAAAGCTATAAGCAAAAGGAGGACCTGGACAGCATCTTTCAAGAAATTATCCTCAGTGGATAGAGCACTGGCCTTGGAGTCAGGAGGACCTGAGCTCAAATCCAGCCTCAGACACATAACACTCACTAGCTGTGTGACTCAGGGCAAGTCATTTAACCCCAAATGCCTCATCAGAAAAAAAAAATTATCAAGGAAAACTGCCCTGATATCCTGGAACCAGAGGGCAAAATAGGTATTGAAAGTATCCACTAATCACTTCAGGAAAGAGATTCCAAAATAAACACTCCAAAGGAACATTATAGCCAAATCATAGAACTATCAGGTCAAGGAAAAAATACTGCTAGTGTCCAGAAAGAATTCAGATATCAGGAAGTCGCAATCAGGATTACACAGGACTTAGCAGCTGCAACATTTAAAGATCAGAGGTCATGGAACATGATATTCTGGAAGGCAAAGGAAACTAAGACTACAACCAAGAATCCACCTACCCAGTGAAATTAAGCATAATACTTCAAGAGGAAAGTGGTCATTCAATGAAACAGAAGGATTTCAAGCTTTCATAAGAAGGCCAGAATTGAACAAAAAATTGATCTCCAATATCAAGACCCAAGAGAAGCCTAAAAAAGGAAAAATGGGAAAGAAAGAATAAGGGATTCAGTGGAGCTGAACTATTTACATCCCTACATTGGAAGATGATACTTGTAATTCTTAAAAACTGCGCCATTAATAGTAAAGCTAGAAGGAATATGTGTAAATAGAGGTTACAGATATAAGGCAAATTTGAGGGAATGACATAAAAATAACTAAGGGATGAGAAAGGGTGCAGAAAGAAAGGAGAATGAAGTAAATTATTTCACATGAGGAGGCATGAAAAGCCCATTACAGTCAAGGGGAAGATAGGAGGGTAGAGAGTGGGCATTGCTTGAACCTTACTTCTCATCAGTGTCGGCTCAAAGAGGGAATAACATACACAAGCAGTTGAATATAGAAATCTGTCTTACCCAACAGGAAAGTAGAAGGGGAGGAGATTAAGTAAAGGGAGAGGGGGGAGACTGACGGAAGGGAAGGCAGATCAGGGGAAGTGGTAGACAGAAGCAAAACACTGGTGAGGAGGGAAAGGGTGAAAGGAGAGAGAGGACAAACAGGAGGAAAAATAGGATGGAGGGAAATATGAAGTTAGTAATCATAACTGTGAATGTGAATGGGGTGAACTCTCCCATAAAATGGAAGCAGATAGCAGAGTGGATCAAAAAACCAGAATCCTATAATATGTTGTTTACAAGAAACACACTTGAAGCAGAGAGATACGCACAGAGTAAAGGTGAGGGGCTGGAGCAGAATCTATTATGCTTCAGCTGAAGTAAAAAACAAAAAAAAAGCAGGGGTAGAAATTCTGATCTCAGACAAAGCAAAAGCAAAAATAGACCTAATTAAAAGCGATGAGGAAGGAAACTACATCTTGGTAAAAGGTACCATAGACAATGAAGTAATATCAATACTAACCATATGTGTGCCAAGTGGTATTGTATCCAAATTCTGAAAGAAGTTAAGTGAGTTATAGGTTCATGACAAAACAAGAGTTAGAAAGCATTACAAAATATAAAATAGATAATTTTGATTATATTAAATTAAAAATCTTTTGCACAAACAAAACCAATGCAATCAAGATTAGAAGGAAAGCAGAAAGAAACAATCTTCACAGCAAATGTCTCTGATAAAGGTGTCATTTCTAAAATATAGAGAGAACTGAATTTATAAGAATACAAGCCATTCCCTAATTGATAAATGGTCAAAGAATATGAACAGGCAGTTTTCAGATGAAGAAATCAAAACTATCTATAGGCATATGAAGAAGTGCTCTAAATCACTTTTGATTAGAGAAATGCAAATTAAAACAACTCTGAGGTACCACCTCACACCTTACTAGGTTCCTCATGGTTTCTCATTCATGTTTACCTTTTTATGCCTCTCTTGAGTCTTGTGTTGGAATATAAAATTTTCTATTCAGCTCTGATCTTTTTATCAGGAATTCCTGGAAGTCTTCTAGTTCATTAAATATCAATTTTCTCCCTAAAGGATTATACTCAGTTTTGATGGGTAGGTTTTTCTCTGTTGCAATTCTAGCTCTTTTGCCTTCCAGAATATCATATTCCACATTCTCCACTCCGTTATAGTTGTTAATTATTTTTTCATAATTTATTTCATCCCTCTCATTTCTTTTCCCAGTTTTTCTCTACATCTTTTATTTTATTTTTAAAATAATTTTGTGGGGGGCAGCTAGGTGGCACAGTGGATAGAGCACTGGTCCTGAAGTTAGGAGGACCTGAGTTCAAATCCTGCCTCAGACCAACCACTTGACACTTACTAGCTGTGTGACCCTGGGCAAGTCACTTAACCCCAATTGCCTAAAAAAAAAAATTTTTTTTTTGCTTAAAAAAAAATTCTTTCTTTAGCTCTTTTAGGAATTCTTGTTGGGCCTGTGTGTAATTTGCATTTTTTTCTTTGAGTCTTTGCTTGTAGATGTTTTCACGTCATTGTCTTCCTCTGAGTTTGTGCTTGAACTTTCTGGTCACCATAGTAACTTTTTATAGTCATGTTCTTTTTGTTGTCATTTGCTCATTTTTTCAGTCTATTTTCTTGACTTTGGAATTTATGTTAGTGTTGGGCTCTGCTCCTCTTGGGGTGAGGGATTATTGTCCTAAGCTTTAGACTTTTTTATCCTGCTTCTTTCATAGATAATTCTGGGGGGTCTATGAGTTTTCAGTGCTTCCAAGATGGTGCGATCTGGGGAGAGGTGTGGTCACTGCTCTCCTGCTCTGTGTTCTGGTTCTTACCTCAGAAGGGTCCCTGCTCCCTTATGACTGATTGCAAGTGCTCCTCTCTTCCCTGGAACTGACACCCAGAATTGGGTAATGGGCAATGGTGTTGCCAAATGGTACCCAGTCCTGCACCCAGTGCTAGCACAGGGATCCCCTGTAATCTCTTTCTGACTCGATGTTGAATACCCTTACCATCTCTGGGTAATGAGTGCTCCTGGCGTAGCTGCTGCTGCTGCCATAGCCTCCAAGGCCCACAGCTGATGTCACTGACCCAGTCAGCTCCTACCCTAGTGGCACAGATCTCTTCTTCTTACTCCCTAAGTTGTCTTGGACTGGAAAAATGTCTCACCTCAACTTTTTGTGGGTTATGCTGCTTTACAATTCGATTTGACATGTTATTTTAAAGTTGTTTAGAGGGGAATGTTGGGAGGGCTCAGTCAGAATGCTTCCTTACTCTGCCATTTTCGTTCTCCCACCCTCTCTTCTTATTGATGAGGAAACTGGGTAGTAAGGAGAGAAGTGACTTGGCCAAGGTGATGTGGCTAATTTGTGGCAGAGTTGGAAATAGAGACCAAGTTCCCTGATTCTTAGCCCAGCATATTTTCTGCAATATTATTCTGCCCCCTTTCTTGTCTGTTACTCATTATCCTATGATACTACTCTCTTCCTTTTAGTTGACAAGCTGGACACAGACTACATTGAGCGGTATTTGGGGCATCTCACCCCCATGCAGGAGAGCTGTTTGATCAGACTCCGCCAGTGGTTACAGGAAACACATAAAGGAAAGGTGAGTGCCTAAAGGGCCTTACTTTGCTTAGCGATCTTGGCTTTCAAACATCAATGAAACACCTGTTGTGTGCAAGGCACATACTCTAGGTGTTGGGGATACCAAAATGGAATAAAATACGGTCCCCATCCTTGAGGATCTTACAGTCAGGTTGGGAGATTAAAATGTGCACTGATCATAAAAATAGGACAGAGTGTAAGTGCAAAGGAGATGACTAGACAAATTGTGTGAGAAATTTGAGGAGGAAGTGATCATTTTTGGCTAGGGGGTGATCTGAGCTGAGGCTTGAAGGAAGAGAGGAGTTTCAACAGATGGATACCAGGGAGGAGTCCCTTTAAGACGTCGAGGACAGGCAGGAACAAAGAGGTAGAGGTGAGAGTGAGCAAGGAGAGGGTAAATAGTTTAGTTTGACTGGAAATAGAATTCACAAAGAGGAGTAGAATTTGATAAGCCTAGAGAGGAAGGGAGACTGTGTCTAAGCCATGAGTGTCAGGCTTAGGAGTGTGGCCTTGGTTTGGTAAGACTTGATTTTTTTTAGTACCTTCCTCGAGGGTGGTTGCGAGGCTTAAGTGACCTAATATATGTAAAGCCCTTTGTAGACTCTAAAACACTGTATAAAATTCCATTATTGTTACTGGTGTTGTTGTTGGTTGTGGTACTGTTATGTAATGCAGAATCCATGAAAGCTTTTATACAGACAAGTGACATGTTCAAAGAATCATATGAGGAACGTTGCTTGGGCAGTAGTATACGTGTTTCAGAAAGATACATAGGAAGAACCGGACTGTGGACAGTCTGGAACATAGAAACTCAAATTTTCATTGTACTTTGGGTATTTCTTAAATAACAGCAACAACAATAATGATGATGATGATAGCTGTATTTGTGTGCCAGGCACTGTGCTACAAATATCTCATTTGATCCTCTTGGTCAGAAGCAGAGGATTGGAAGTCAGGAAAAGGTAATGGTTTATATAGCCTGCTTCTTTGGGATGTGTAAAAAAAGAAAAAAAACAAAACCTCTCTTGGTAGGGTATATTTATTCCTGTCTGCCTTTGAGTACTGGGTCAAAACTAGCAGTAGCAGTTGGGACCACCATTCTGCAACAGTTGAGTACCCTTCCTTGAAAGTATCTGGGGTCATGAAGGTGATAGAGAGGTAAATAGAACTCAGAAGGCACAAGCAATCATGTGTTCTATGTTGTATGCTGTGTTATATATTACTGTGACCTTTTGTTCATTTTTGACTACCATAATGGTGGGATTGTAGGGAAAGGAATTCTGATAGGAACCTCCCGGGAACCCAATCAACAAAATGTATTCAGGAATGAAAGCAATTCCCTTCTTCCTCTTCCCCTCCCTTCCCTTCCCTTAAGGGCTTTTAAGGACTCCTGGGCCTTGCTCTTCTCCTTGATGATGAACCCTTAGGACCTCTGGCTTTTCCATCTGCCCTCTAGCTGAACCCTTCTATATGTATTGTCTCCCTCTATGAGAGTGTTAGCTCCATGAGAGCAGGGCCTTTTTCTTTTCTTTTTTTTATTATCTTTTTTTTAAAAATTCAATTTAATTTTATTTTCTGGTTCATATACTCTCTCTCCTATACCACTCATCCCCAGCACCCATACAATAAGAAAGCAAGAAGAAACAAACCCTTTACAGATGTGTTGTCTTCTTTTTCTGTTTGTATCCCCAGGACCTAGCCCAGTACTTGGTGCATAGTAAGTGCTTAATAAATGCTTTTTTTCATTCATTCATCTAGTCTTCATTCATTCATTTATTCCTTTCCCTTTTCCTCCTCCTTCCAAGGCATGGATATAAACTGCTTTTCTCAGGGTCATACATATTTTTTCCCATCTTTGTCAGCAAATGAATGAGGAGAGATATTCTTTTGGAAAGCAGCAAAGAGTCAGAGAAAACATGCTAGAAACTACTTCAGAGCTATTTAGCCCAACCCATACATTAGACAGAATACTCTCTTCATCCCCCAATACTCATCAACCAGCCTCTTCTTGAAGACTTCCAATGAGGGGAACCTATTACCTCCTGAGACAGCCCACCTTGCTTTTGGCTAGCTGTCATTATTAGGAAGGAAGTTTTCCTTAAGTGGATCCTAAATCTGTCTGTGCAATTTCCACTCATTGTTAGTAGTTTTTCCCTAGGGGTTGGGGCAGGAGAGAGAGGAAGGGAGTAAACTGGCTAAGTCTGATCCTTTTTCCATATCATAATCTTTTGAATACTTAAAAAACTATCATGTCCTCTCTGAAGCTAAACCTGCTCTTTTTTTTTTCTGAGACTAAGTACCTTCGTAAATATCAAATGGTTTCTTTTCTAGTCTTCTCACCACCCTGAGGTACCTCCTTTTAAAAAAAACCAAAACATTTTGATAGACATTCCTTGATATAACCCAACCTCCAACCCTAACTTGTAAGAAAGAAAAACAATGAACCAAAACTCACCCACAAAATGAATGGATAGATGCAATATTCTACTCCCATTAACTCCCACCTCTTTACTGAGAGGAGGGAAGTATGTTTCCTCATCTGTTCTTTAGGACTAAAATTGCATTAACTCAATTCTATTAAAAATAAGTACTTATTAATATAATCAGCTGCTCTTTAGTGCTGTTTTCATTTACATTATTGTAGAATAGTCATTTTGCATTTTATTCTCCTGGTTTTGCTTTCTTTGGACCTTCTTCCTTGAGACATTTGCCAATGTCTTTTTTTTTTTTAAGACTGGGTCTCCCTAATGGGCTATGTAGAAGTTAAGTAGCCACTCACAGGCCCAATCCTACTACTGATCAGCATAGACACTTTGACTTGCTCTGTTTTTGACCTAGGTCAATTCCATCCTCCTTAGACAGCATGGTGAGGCTTACCATATTTGTCCTGGACTTAGTGTGTATACCTGATTGGCTTAGCCCATGTCAGCTACAGTACTCCACCAACCTTCTCCAGTCATGGGGATTACAGGAGTTTACTACCACACTCAGCCCAATATCTTTTTAAAAATCTGCCCAGGATTGAGCATAACACTTCAAATATGGCCTGATCAGGGCCAAGATAGTGGAGCTGTAACTTCCTCATTCTGGAAATTGTGCCTCTCTTCATGTAAAGTAGTATAGCATAGCTTTTTTGGCTGCCATGTTACACTCTTGATTCATGTTGAGTTGGCAGGATACTAAAGCTTTTTTTTCCCCCATATGACTCTAACCATACTTCCTTCTCCTACCTCTTTTCCTCCCTCCCCCAAGTGGCTTTTTTGAATCCAGGTGTATAATATAGGCACATGAAACTCAAATAAATTTTATATTATTCTGACCTATTGTTTTAGCCTGTTGAGATCTTTTAAGAAAGATTATCTGCTACCTAAAACCATCAGCAAGTATTATCTGCAATGGAAATAAGCTAGAAACCTTCTCAATAAGATCAGAGGTAAAACAAGGATGCCCATTATCACCAATATTATTCAATATTGTGCTAGAAACTCTAGCTACAGTGACAAGAGAAGGAAAAGAAATTGAAGGAGAGTGGCTCATGAAAAAATAAAACTATCTCTTTTAGCAGATGATGTGATGGTATACTTGGAAAATCCTAGAGATTCAACTAAAAACTTAATTGAAGCAATTTATAATTTAGCTAAGTAGCAGGATATAAAATTAACCAACATAAATCATTAGCATTTCTATACATCACCAACAAAACTCTGCAAGAAGAGATTGTAAGAGATATATCATTTAAAATAACCATAGACAATATAAATACCTGGAAGTGTACCTGCCAAGACAAACCCAGGGACTATATGAATATAATTATAAAACACTTTTTATGCAAATAAAGCCTGATGTAAATATTTGGGGAAGTATTAATTGTTCATGAATGGGCCAAGACCATTTTAAATTTAAAATTTTTTGTATAAATAAAACCTATGTAGCCAACAATAGAAGGAATGCAGAAAATTGGGGGGAAAACTTTCATAGACAATCTCTCAGATAGAATGTAACTGGGTTGGAATAATGCTGTGGTATAGAAAATGATGAACTGATTGATTTAGAAAAACATGGAAAAGGTTAGACTTATGAAGGGAGATGCTATCTACCTTCAGAGAATCAGATAACAAGTGGAAATAAACATAGTACTTATATGTGTATGAGTGTGTATATATGTATATATTTATGGATATCTATGTGTATGTGCATATATATATACACACATATGTATTCATGTTTAATTGTAACCTTTAGGGTAGGGTGGGACAGGGAGGGGGGAAAATAAGGTAAAAAGTGCACAGCAGAGAACAAAAGAAGACCTAGAAGGAAGCAAAGAAAAGCTGGGCAGCTTTGAAAACAATGTGTAGTATTTATTATATAAGTCTTCTTAAAATGGAAATTTATTATTTTATACTGAATTCTCTCTTATGTTTTGTTGTGTACATGACAATTTTTTTCTTTTCTCATTTTGTGTTTAAGTTTAAAATAAATTTAAAAATTTACAACCCCCCCCCCCCCATTTACCAACAGCTTCTCAGCAATCATACTTGTCAGTTTTTTCAGAATGCAAAGATATAGTTCCACTGGGCCTGGCTCTCTTGTCCATTCCCTGCTAACCATTTTGTTCCATCCTTCTCTTTTTCTTTTTTTTTTCTTTAAAGGAGAATAATCTTTGAACTCGAAAGAAAGGCTGCCCTTTTCTCATCTACAGCTGAGGCAGAGAAATCACCAGTTGCACCACACATGGCCCTAAATTTTCTAGAGTTTTTATAATCTAGAGTGGTAGAAAAGCTTGCTAATTGTGAGTGTCTCATCCACACCTTATAATTGAGTGGCAAAACAGCCTCCTATACAAGTGGGTGGTTTAGGGAATCCTAGGATCATAGATTTAGAGTTAGAAGAGACCACTGAGTCCAACTTCCTTATTTTACAGATGAGGCAACTTGCTGCTTAAAGAGGCTAAATGATTTGCTCAGGATCATGCAGCTTATAAGTGTCAGAAGCAGGATTTGAAAATAGGTCTTCTTGCCTCCAAGTCCAATACTTTCACCACCGCTATAGCATGATGCTCCTTCAGTCTCTTGAAGGAGACCAAGGCCTGAAAGATTGTGTTAGTTTTGTCATGAAAGAAAGCTCCATGGACTCTTTTCTCTGCCCTCCCTCCCACAGATTCCCAAAGATGAGCACATTCTTCGATTCTTGAGGGCTCGAGACTTTCACTTTGAAAAGGCCCGGGAGATGTTGTGCCAGTCCTTGAACTGGCGAAAGCAGCACCAAGTGGACTACATCCTTCAGACATGGAGGCCCCCACCCCTCCTGGAGGAGTTCTATGCGGGCGGCTGGCACTACCAGGATAGAGGTTTGCCTTTTTACATGTCTTCCAACCCTTCAGTTTCCCCCGACAGTACAGCAAAGAGAGAAAATATGGGATCCTGGTGTGGGGAACTTGACCCCAGATTCCCCAGTAGTATTCCCAAAGTCATTTTGTTAGCCTCAGAAGAGCTGCTAAGGGGAAATGGATTGGTTCCTGACTTCTTGATTTCATTGGTTTTGGGAACACTCTTCATATTATCAACTTATCTTTTTTTTTTCTTTCTGAACCTCTTCCCTTCCCCCACTACCTCTACCAGGGAGTTGTGAAATGGCAAAGATGATCCTTCCATCCTCTGAAAAATGAAAGCAAAGCATAGAAAAAGAGGAGCAGAGTTGGCACTAGAATCCCTCTTCTTTGGCTCCAGGGTCAAAACTTTCTGTACTGGGATGGGTTATTTCCTATGAGCCTAAGACTGGCTGGGCCATTCTCTGTGACTTGTTCCAAACTTTGGGCCGTCTCTATGGGTAGAATCTAGAGACTATATTAGCAGTAGAGTCCTCTGCTTCTCATCAGTGTCCTTGCTATTCTCCTAGATTTTGGGGGTAGAGGAGTAAGACAGAAGGGAGAAGTGTTACTGAATTATTTTCTCTTCTCTTTACATGGTCTCTTTTACAAAGATGGCCGCCCTCTCTATATCCTGCGTCTTGGCCAGATGGATACAAAGGGCTTGATGAAGGCAGTGGGAGAGGAGGCACTCCTTCGACATGTGAGTAGTGGCTCTCCCATTTTTTTTTCAAAACATTTTTTCAATTAATAAGCATTTATTTTTCTCTTCCACCTCCCTTGCTCTCCCACCACTGGGAGAAAAAAGAAAAACAAAACCCTTGTAAGAAATAAGTATCAATCCAAACAAATTTCCAAATTGGCCATGTCCAAAAATGTATGTTTCACTCTGTACCCTGTATCCATCACTTTCCCATCTGGAGATGGGTAGCCTACTTCTTCATTGGTCTTCTGGAATGGTGGTTGGTCATTGAGCTAATTAGCATTCTTAAGTCTTTCAGGTATTTTCCTTTTTATTGCTCTTGTTTTTATGAATTGTTTTCCAGGTTCTGTTCATTTTACTTTGCATCAATTCATTAAACCTTCCTAGATTTCTTTCAAACTATCCCTTTCATCATTTCTTAAGACCCTACCATTTCTTTAGGACTTCAGATAGGCTGAGTTCCCAAGGTCAACTTTATGGGTTGTGGAAGATGCACTCATGAATTGACCAAAAGAGGGCATAGGACTAGATGTGTCGTATTGGCTTAGTTCCTGTCAAGACTGTCTTTGCTTTTCAGATTCTTTCAGTTAATGAAGAGGGACAGAAGAGATGTGAAGAGCACACAAATCAGCTTGGCCGCCCCATTAGGCAAGTGTTTGGGTGGATTGCTATTTTCCCTTGATAATAAGAACCAGCCATATCTCCAGAAAGCATCATGTGGTCTATTTTTCTCTGTCTTTTCTCTTCTATCCCATTCTCCTCCTTTCCATACTCAAATACAGAGCCTTTTTAGACTCTTTCTTCTGTCTGTAGCTCACTTTGGTAGATCTAAGGGGAGATAATTGGGAAATCACTATATATTGTTGAGGTATAGATGTTTGGGACTTTAGCCATATCTTCCCTGCTTGCTTAGGGCTGAGATGGAGGGAAGTCCTAGTGTAACAGGTGATTCTTTGGTGTCCTTGGTTCAGTTCCTGGACGTGCCTTGTGGATCTGGAAGGGCTGAATATGCGGCACCTCTGGCGACCTGGGGTGAAGGCTCTGTTGCGGATGATTGAAGTGGTTGAGGACAATTATCCAGAGACGTTGGGGCGGCTGCTTATTGTGCGTGCTCCTCGTGTTTTCCCTGTGCTGTGGACATTGGTGAGTGGAAAACAGGAACTAGGTGGTTGGAGGCAAGTCTCTCCAGATTTTATTTTTACGAGGATTTGGGGATTTTCTCCCATGAGTTTTCTGCCGGCTTGCCCTCTTTCCTCTGGTGTAAGAGGTATATGTGATGATGATGATAATAATCATAGTATTTATAGAGCACTTTAAGATTTGTAAAATGCTTTTCATATATCATTTTATTTGAGTCCCATAGCAACCCTGTGAGGTAGGTGCTGTTTTTATTCTCGATTTACACATAGGAAATTAGTCTGAGTGAACTCAAATGACTTGCCCAGGGTCACACAGTTACTAAGTGTCTGAGGCAGTCAGTTAATCAACTAGCATTTATTAAGTACTTCCTATGTGCCAGGCACTGTGCTAAGCACTGGGGATACAAAGAGGCAAAAGACAGGCCCCTGCTCTCGAGGAGCTCAGTCTAATGGGGAAGATACCAATCAAACAACTATGTACAAGATATCAACATTATAAATTGGAGATAATCAACTGAGGAAAGACATTAGCATTAAGGGAAATTGGGAAAGACTTCTTGCAGAAGGTGAGATTCAAACTCAGATCTTCCTGACTCTAAATGTAGGCCTCTATCCACTCTGTCATTTGCTACCTCCATAGAACAAATAAGGAGGCAACTCTGAGATGTGTCAGAATGCTGGGTAGGCAGTGACGGCACTCTTTGAGGTAGAGAAATGGCAGTTTCAAGTATCCTGACAAACCTTAGAGGGTTGGAAAACAAAAGCACATTGTAGTCTAATATTTGTTAGCAGTGTGTGCTGAGGGGTAGATGTTGGGAGGCTGTGACAAGTTCCCCTTTTCATCCTCAACTGTATTCATACTTAGTGTAAGATTAGGGGGGCAGCTAGGTGGCTCAGTGGGTAGAGCTCCTGCCTTGGAGTCAGGAGGACCTGAATTCAAATCTGGCCTCAGACACATAACACTTGCTAGCTGTGTGACCTTAGGCAAGTCACTTAACCCCAATTACCTCATCAAAAAAAAAAAAGGAAAAAAAAGAGGAGGGCACATCCCGCTGTTAGATCTAGCATCAGCTCCAGATCTAGCAGGAACAATACCGTAGGGAAGGCAGTGTGAAACAGTGGGAAGGGTGCTAGACAGGCAGAGGATCTGGAGGCAGAGATCTTGAATTCAAATCCTGGTTCTTCCACTTATTACCTGTTTGACCATGGACATGTCACTTTGGTCCTCAGTTATATGAGGCAGGGTAGGACCAGATGGCATCTAAGGTCCCATCCAACTCTAAATCTGTAATCCTCTACTCTTTGGAAGCAATGCAAAAAACCCTGGAAGTGTGGAAAACCTCCATTCTCTTCTGCATTACTTTTCAGGTGAGCCCCCTTATCAATGAAAACACCAGGCAGAAATTCCTCATCTACAGTGGCAGCAACTATCAGGGCCCTGGAGGACTTGTAGATTATCTGAATAAAGATGTGATTCCTGACTTCCTAGGAGGAGAATGTTTGGTGAGAATGGTCTTAGCATCACTGGACTGTGGTCCTTGTGAGAGGGGTAGCATTGGGGAATATAGCCTCTTGAGGATTGTTTTCTGGTTGCAAGATTCAATCCTAGAGTTGTAGGACTAGGGTTCTGTCGAAGGTCTTCTAGGAGGGATGAGGAAGTGGGGCAGGATTCCCTCAAGCCAATGGGAAAGAAAGTGGTATGGCATGCCCGTCCTATCTATTCCAGGATGTTTCCATCTCCCCAGGTGGAATAAGATGGCAGAATTCTAATCCTTGAAGAAAGGGTCATAGGGGCCCAAGATGCCTTTGGTCACTCTGAACCTAAAAACTGAACTACCTTTAGAATTGCTTTCAATGAGCATCCTAGATTGTAGAAACAGGTCCTCAGGGAATTTGAGAGGGATCTGGAAGAGATACAAAGGACTCTGTGTGTTGGGTAGTAGTAGGCAGGAGGGTCATAGGGGAGAAGGACATATAATCCAGGGCACAGGGTGTGCTCTGAGAAGTGCTTTCTGGGTAAGATGGAGGCACCGAATTCTGACACTGAACATAGTCTTTGGCTTTCAGTGCAATGTCCCTGAAGGGGGCATCATCCCAAAGGCCCTCTATCAGATTGAAGAGGATCAAGAAAATGCAGATAGGGTCCAACTGTGGACTGAAACTGTCTACCAGTCTGCAAGTGTGCTCCAAGGGGCCCCCCATGAGGTACTCTCTTCTTTTCTTTGGTCTGGTGGACTTGACCAAAAAGACTCAGCAAGATGTACTCAGGGATGTGCTGGAACCAGCTCAGACTGGCTTAAGAGAGCCAATTGTAAAATTTTTGATGTGAGCATTTACATCTTGGAAATCTACAAACTCTGTAAATCGGGGCTTGATTTATTGTTTTGTTGATTGTCCACATTTAAGAAAGTGATGGAAAATGTTAATAATACAGGTTAAATTTAAAACTATGTCCTCTGTGCATCCCCCCCCCCCCCCCGCCCAGAGAATTGGTTGTTAAACATTTACCAGTATACCACGGAATGTACCTACCTCCTTGAGGAGTCAGAAAGGTTGGGTCATTATATCTCAAACTACTTTTCTCTTTTTCTAGGCAGCTGTTTCAGAGGCAGGGCAGGGGTGAGGAGGAGGAGGAGGAGATGAAACTCTTCTTGTCCAGCTCATTATACCTGACTTGTTTTATGTCTAGATAGCAGTGGAGATTCTGGAGGGTGAGTCAGTGATCACCTGGGACTTTGACATTCTGAGGGGAGATGTGGTATTCAACCTCTTTCACTCCAAGCAAGCACCTGAACCAAGACCCAGGGAGTCCAAGTCTGGGAGTAGCGTACAACTCATTGACCAAAGTTGGGTCCTGGGAGTGGATTACAACCGTGTGGAGTCTCCTCTGGTCTGCCGGGAAGGCGAGAGCATTCAGGTGAGACAGTCTTCTACTGTAACAGCTAAATAAGTCGAGAACTGCTATGGCTCTTGGCAACTCCGGAAATTGGCTCACTGGGATCCAAATCCTCCCAGGTCCTGAAATACTTTCCAAGCTATGGCTCCCTTGTTCAGGAAATGAAAGCGGCTTAGGTGTGGGTGTCAACCTATCCCTGGGAGCTAGGGGGCAGCAGCTGGAGTCATACTTCTATTAACTTTGATTTCAAGTAAATGAAAGGTGTCTAGTTCCACTTTTTGATTTGTTGAGATTTCATCCTTCCAGTGTTAAGTGGAGAAAATTAATGACTGCCTGGACTTGTGGCCTGAACTTCACTTTGGTCCTTCCTTTCCGGCTCTGCCCCAGACAGTGTGATACATTCCTGTGTTTTGCAGTGCTCCATTGCATTTGGTTAAGCAACAAACAACTTTGAGTGCTTATGTGCCTACATGTTGTATATGGTGTATAAAAGAAGAATTAAGTATGACTGGAACTCATAGAGGCTTTTGGGAGCTGTCAACGTACCCCTGGGATACATCAACAAGTGTTAATGAAGCCTCTGTTATGTGCCAGGCACTAAGCTAGGCACTGGAGATGATACAAAGATAAAAAGGAGATAAGCCCTGTCCTCAAAGAGCTGATGTTTTACTGGGAGGATACAACACATTCACAGTCTGTTGTTATTGTTGTCGGTCCTTTGTTCTCCAAGGTGACCAATGACATCACGAAGGTGGTGTTGTGACTTTGGAGCGAATTGGATTTAAGTGAGGCAAAGCTGCACATGTCCTGTTCACAGTCTCATTATGAAGGCAAAACCATTACACAACCATTACACATAAAGCAACTAGGGAGCGTTGTATTTGAAGCTAGAAAACTTGGGTTCAGATTCATGGCTCTGCCACTTAATAACTGTGTGACCTTGGACAAGTGTCTTCACCTCTCTAGGCTTTGGTTTTCTCATCTGTAAAATGGAGGGGCTAAGCTAGGTCCTCTTCAAGGTCTCTTCCAGCTTTGCATATATTATCCTAAGTAGGAGAGCAATTAAGTGCAAAATCGTGTGGTAATGATGGCAGGAGCTTGGAGAATTGAGACCTAGAGTAGTTGAGGAAAGCTTCATGGAGGTGGTAAGACTTAAGCTGGGACTTAAAGCATGCAGAGGATTTGGACAGAATGAGATAAAGGGAGAGAGCATCCCTGGGCGAGAGAAGGGGAGGAGCGCAGGCATGGAGCCAGGAATGAGCAGGGCCTATTTAGAAGGCGGTGGGGAGACTGCCGTGGTGTAGGTTACTATGGGCAGGGTGGAACCAGAGTTTCCAGAAAAGCCTGGAAACATGATGACAGGAATTTGTACTTGGTATGAGACACTGGAGAGAACCATCATAGATTCTTGAGCAAGGGAACGATACACTAGAAGTGATGTTTTAAGATGATTAATTTGGCATTAATTAATTGTTGTTCTTCAGTTGTGTCTGACTATTAGTGACCCCCATAGACCATAGCATGCCAGGCCCTTTTATCCTCCACTCTCTCTTGAAGTCTGTCCAAGATCATGTTCATTGCTTCCATGACACTATCTATCCATCTCATCCTCTGCTGTTCCCTTCTCCTTTTGCCTTCGATCTTTCCCAACATCAGGTTCTTTTCCAATGAGTCTAGTATTCTCATTATGTGGCCAAAGCATTTAAGATTCAGTATTTGGTTTTTCCAGTAAATAGTCTGAATATTGGATAAGTTAAGATGCTTAATTTGAGACAATTTGTGTAGGGCAGGTAAGACTAGGGAGTCTGAAGGCAAGGAGGCTAGGTAGGAAGCAATTGTGGTAACCAAAGGGTGATGGTAGTGGGAATGGCAAGAAAAAGATGACTCAGAAAGATAATCTAAAAGATGAAGAATGCATCAAATATGACTCCCAGTTTTTCAGTCTAAGAAGGTGATAGAAATAGATTAGTTGGGAAGAGCAGCCATTTGGTTGCTGAGAATTGGAGGGAATGGAGAAGTTGGCTTTAGGGCTTGTCTGAGATGAGGGTAGAACATTTAAATGGAGATGTCTTAGAGAAAGGTGGTAAACAGATGAAGGGACAGAACAGGAAGATGTGTCTTTGGAAGTCATCAGTGTAAAAATAAGTGAGTAAGTGAGCTCTCCTTGGGTATAGGCGTAGATAGAAAAGAAAAAAGGGTCAATGACAGAGCTTTGGGTAGAAGGAAGATCCGGTTGTTGTTTAGATGATTAGTCATGTCTGACTCATCATGACCTCGTTTGGGGTTTTCTTGGTAAAGATACTAGAGTGGTTCTCCATTTTCTTCTCTAGATCATTTTTACAAATGAGGAAACTGAGGCAACAGGGTTAAGTGACTTGCCCAGGGTTATACAGCCAGTAAGTGTCTAAGGTTGGATTTGAACCCAGGTCCTCACCTCCAGGGCCAGCCCCCTGCGCCACCTAGCAGTCCAGAAGGAGGATCCAGCACAGGTGAACAAAGCAACTGTCAGAAGAGCAGGAAAAGGCAAATCACAGAAGCCAAGAAAGGAAAGATTTTTAAGGAGTGGACAGCAAGTTATATCAAACGTGGATGAGTGGATGAGAATGAAGATTGGCCAATATGCCACGGAACGTGGGTTGAAAGGACCCAGCAGGAGGAAGAAGCCCATGCTGAGGTGGCTGGAGACACTGTTCAGAATGCCCTGGAGTCTTCTCTAGTGGTATGGTTGATAGTTCTATGATATTCTTCAGCCCCAGAAATGACTTTACCATTTTCTTTGGTTTGTAGTATTCTAGCAGTGATGCCTCAGGGCAAAATTGGAGCATAATTTGCCAAATGTTTAAAGCCCTTATGTACCTGAAGCCTTATTTCTTTTAAACCCCAGGCTAATTTTTAAAGGTAGTCTTTAGAATCCAGAACATGTAAATTACACCAAAGCCTTTCACGCTTTAGCTCATGGTTATATAGCATTGTATGATTTACAAAGCATTTTCCTAATAACAATCCTGTGAGGTAGGTAGTGCATGTATTATCACCATTTTACAGATGGGGAAACTGAGGCTCAGAGATGTGAGGGACTTCCCCCATGGTCAAACAGCTAGAAAGTGTCAGAGCTAGGATTCAAGCCCATGTCTCCAAGTCCAAGTGGTCTTTTCACTATTTCTACTTTTCACTATATATTTTTTTTTTTTTGTGAGGCAATTGGGGTGAGTGTTATGTGTCTGAGGTCATATTTGAACTCAGGTCCTCCTGACTCTAGGGCTGGTGCTCTATCCACTGCGCCACCTAGCTGCCCCTTCTCTATTTCTTTTACAAACTGCTTGTTCAGGCTTTTGGGAAATTTCAACTACCTCTAGGCATCAATCCATTCACAAGCATTTATTTCTACGTGCCAAGTACCTGCTAGGTTTTGGAGTTGGTACAAAGACAAAAGTGAGGTATCTAGATCTTTTCCTCAAGACACTTATATTTTGCTGCTGGGAGACAATGAATTCACAGATAAGAAAACATAAGATTGATACAAAATAAGTACAAAGTTATTTTGGTGATGGGGAAGCACTAAAAGCTAGAAGAATTAGGATACATCTCTTGAAGGACTTGGACAGAGCCTTGAATGAAGTTTAGTGTTCCAAGAGGTGGGAGTGGTGAAGAGGTGCTCCTAGAAACAGAGGGGCTTCCACCCATGTGGAACAGGCTATGTGAAGGCCTGGAGACTGGAGATGGGGTGTTGTGTATGGAGAATCCCAAGTAAAAACAGCAAGTTTGACTGTAGTGTGAAGCATGTTGAGGGAGAACAACGTGAAATCAATCTGGAAAAATGGGTTGGAATCACACTCTGAGAGGTTCTAAATGCCAAACAATGGAATGTGCACTTTAGGATTGTAGATCTAGAGTTTGGGAAGACCCCGGAGGCCATCTAGACCAATGCCTCTATTTTACAGATGAGGAAACCGAGGCACCTTAAATGGCTTGTCTAAGGTCACATGAGTAGGACGCATCAGGGACAGGACTTGGACCCTAGTCTTCGGTGCTCTTTCCACTTATACTTGCCCTAGTGGCAAGGAAGAGCTCTTATAAATTTATGATCATAAATAAATAAACAAACAAACGAATGAATGAATGAATTCATAGTCAGAATGACATGGTCAGACCTGTACTTTGGGGATATGAATTTGGCAGCTATATGGAGGGGTTGATTGGAGAGGAACCTAGCTGGCACATAAGGTAGGGTTCACTGTGGCAGCTCTCTCTATTTCAGGGCTCCCACGTGACTCGCTGGCCAGGTTTCTACCTGCTTCAGTGGAAGATGGCCACTCCTTCAGCCTGTGCAGCCAGCAGCCTCCCTCGAGTGGAAGATGCCCTGACGTCTGTGCAGAGCCCTGGTCACAAGTGTAAACTCCTATACTACTATGAGGTGCTTGCATCTGTAGACTTCAGGTAGGAACCATGGGACTGGGTTACCTGGGAAGGGAAGGCATTTAGCTGAGGAAGACTAAGTCGATTAGAATCCTCACCATAATAAATCACATTCGAAAATTGCTTAAAGTTTATAAAGTGCTTTACACCCATTATCTCATTTGATCCTCACAACAGTCTTGTGTGATAGGTACCATTATTATCATTTCCATTTTATAGAAGGGGAAATTGAGGTTCAAAACATATTTAATGACTTTCTCAAGGTCATACTGCTAATAAGTGTCATATAGCTAGTAAATGTTTGAGCCAGGCCTCAAACCAAGGTCTTCCTGCCTCCAAGTCTATAACTCTATTCACTATGCCCTAAGGTCTTATAAGTTGCTGCCTTATATAAATTGATAAACCCCTACCTGAAGTCAGGATCTTTAAAAAAAAGGTTTTGATGAAGGGGGAAGAAAAAATGCTTAGCAATGATTGGCAGATAGACATAGTGGTCACTTTCAGAGATTTATGACCAGAGATGATGGGGAAAAGAGGGTGTACCAGGGAATTGAAGAGAGGCTTTCAGCTTAACCTGTGAGCATCGTGAACCTTTTTATATGTGGAGGAACATGTCTATCTGAAACCATTTGAAAAAAGAGAGAGAAGTGGGCCACTCAGCAAGGCAAGGCATTTAGGCAAAATTCAACAATTATTTCTTCAAAACATTTCTTCAATGCTTACTGTGTGCAAGGCACAGTGCTTTGGGAACATTGAGGGTACAATGAAAAAAAAGCAATATTGTCTTTGCCCTCAAGTAGCATTATAATTTATTAGGGAGGGAAAGGACATGTAAACAGATAAGCATAATTTTTTAAAAGATGGAGTGTGACGGGGACAAAAGAGAGATCCAGACAAAGTTCTAGAAAACTTTCAGTATGGAGAAAACACTTTGAATTGGAGAGAAGCAGGGAAGGCTTCACAGAGGAAGTAAGAGTTGGGCTGAGGCTAGAAGGAAGTGAAGAATCTCGGTAGGCAGAGGTAAGGAGGGAGTATATCTCATGGAGGCATGGAGAATGTGACTTTCATGTATGCATAAAGGCAGGAGATAGCCGGACAAGGCTGAGAACTATAGTCCTCATTTTGTCTGGGATCTTAGAGTACATGAAGGGAAGTGATATGGAATAAAGATGGAGAGGTAAGTTGGAGTCAGATTGTAAAGTACCTTCAAAACTAAGCTAAGGATTTTGTGTTTTTTCCTGTTGGCATTGGGGAGCCAGCTGAAGGCTATTAAATAGGGGCATAGCATAGTTAGACCTTCATTAGGACGGTTATTTTTGCAGTCATGTGAAGTATGCATGGTTAGGGGAACAGATTAAAGACAGGAAACCAATTGAGATGCTCTTGTTATAACCCAGGCAAAAGGTTATGAGGCACTAGACCAGGGTGGCTGAGTAGAGAGGGGGGGGATGGATATGAGAGAGATGGTGGAAATACAACTGACTAGATTTGGCACCTGATTTGATTTGGGGGGTGAGAGAGAGAAGGCAAATAGGATACTCAGGTTATGAGCCAGAGTTAATTCACTTCAAGAAGCATTTATTAAATACCTAATATTGTCAGGTGAGTTGCTATGTGTGGAAGATAAAGAGACAAAAAAACAACACTGTCCTTGTCCTCAAATGGTTTACATTCTGCTTGAGGAATGGTAAAGCCATAAACAGAATAAGTAAATTGGGAGGAGATGCAGGTTTAGAAGTAGGATAGAAGCTCAGTTTAGGATATAGGAGCATAAATTTGGAACTGGAAAGGATCTCAGAAGAAAAGTCAAGTCAAGAAGCATTGATTAAGCCCTTATTATATGCCAGGTCTTGTGCTTGGAGTCTGTTCCCTTCATTTTACAGATGAGGAGATTGAGATCCAGAGAAGTCAGGTGACTTGTTCATGGTCACTAAGATAAGCAGAAGAGTCAAGATTGGAACCCAGGTCCCCTAAATTAAAGTTATGTGTTCTTTTCACTGAGTTGGAAGTACTAAATAGGACATATCAATGGAGATATCCATTAGTTAGGTGAGATGTGAGAAGGAGATGTGAGTCAGGAGATGTTCTAGAGCTCAGAAGAGAAATAGGGATTTCCTTGCTCCCTTCTTGATAGGTTTTGGGCTCAATTCTTCTTTATCCTCTTCCCCTCCTCCCCCCATAGGTACAGGTAATGTTTTAGTGCTATACATGAAAGAATACAAACTTCACTGCCTCCTTTTTTGTTTCTTTTTAAATTTTTTTTAATTAGCAAGCATTTATTATGTCTCCCTCTCACTTCCATCCCCAATTGAAAAAGAAAAAAGAAAATCAAAACCCCTATAACAGATGAACATGTCAAACAAACAAACAAACAAAAATTCCCACATTGGCCATGTCCAAAAACATGTCTCATTCTGCATATTCACTATTTCTTTGCCTCCCAAATTGGTAGAGACTACCTTAAAACAAACCCCAGCAAAAAACCAAAACAAAACAAAACACTTTCCCCTAAACAATCAGTCTTTCAGTCCTTAATAACTACAAAGAGCTCTTCTAAGAAAAAAAAAATTAATGTTTTTAAAATGCTCTCCACTAAGACTTCTGGGAAAACGATCCATAGCACTGTTTAAAGTCTGATCCTAATACCCATCTTCTAGCTTTGCTAATTTACTGTAGAGAAAACACCCAGAGGGAGCTTTTGAGACAGGCCCTCCTCCTTTGGGGATGTTACCTGTTCCCATTAACTTTAGCCTGGAATGCCCTGGGATTAGAGAGGAGGGGAGGATTCAGGAGACCTCAGTGGAGAATTCCTCATGCATGAATGATTTACAGGGTCACATCATAGGGCAGTTGTGAGTTTTAATGGAGCGTTCTGCAGTTTGTGCATAGATTGTACGCCTTGCTTCTATTTTCTGGACTAGTAGTCTAGAATCTAAAATCGTTGCTTTGATTTTTTATTGGTTTCTTAGCCATATGAGTCTCCTAGTATCTATTCTCATTATTTTCATTTGCTTTTCCCCTTGATACTTAGTATGGGGACTATTGTGGTTCTCAGCCACGTTAAAGGTATTCTGGAGCCTCATTTCTAACAATAAGGTTTTCCCCTCTACTGGCACACCTTCATTCATTCGGCAAGCTTCTACTTGCTCACCTACTAGGTGCCAGGCACTGTGCTAGGTGCTGGGGACACAAGGACAAAAATGAAACAATCCCTGCCTTGAAGGAGTTGACATGGTGAGGAAGAGTATGGAAACAGAAAAGTGAAAACAAAATATATGTCAAGTAATTGCTGGCAACTGAAGGGATCAGGAAAGGCTTCCTGTGGGAGGTGACATGTAAGCTGAGCTTTGAACGAAGCTGGGGATTCTTCCAGGTGGAGGTGAAAAGGAAGTGCATTCCAGGCATGGGGGAATAACTTGATCAGAGGCACAGAGAAGGGAGATGTCTTGGGCACTGGGGCCCTGTGACCATGAAGGTGTAATGAGTAGCTCTGGGCTCTTCCTTCCCAGGGGATCCATGTCCAGTCTGGAGTCCTGTACCAGTGGTTTCTCACAGCTCAGTGCCACTACAACTTCTTCCAACCAGTCCCAGAGTGGCTCCCTCATCTCCAGATAGCCGGGTCTGAGCCATGTTGGGGATCCTGCTGTACTCCGGCACCTGGAAGTGTCCAGAGCCAGAAATCCTGCCTAACCTGAGGGCCAAGACCATAAGGACTGGTGGCCTGGTTCAGAGGCTGCCAGAGATGGTGGCTCTGTGGGGTCTACCATGATAATCAGCTCATATTTTGGTTTTATAGTAGGTGCATCTGAGTTTGTGGCAGATGCCTCATTAACAAGACTTAACGATTCTAACTTAACCATCTTGAATGAGCCCCTTCTAGTCTCCACTACTCCCCCCCCTCCAAATCTGGACCTGTGATTTCATCAAGGTAGGGAGTTCCTAGTATGGAGACTTCCTCCACTGATGCACATCACTGGAGGCATTGAGAACTTGCCATGAACACACACCTAGTATGTGTCAGAGGCAGGACTTCAACACAGATCTTCCTGACCATAAGGCTGGCATTCTCTCTCTACTACCCCACACTGCTTCTCATTCCCATGTGTATACTATTGTATCCTGAAGTTAATGGCCATTTCCCCAGGTCTGGCCTTCCAGTGGCAAGTTTGGGATCAGCTCTGTGAGGATGGGTCTAAACAAGGCTAGACCTGATGGGGTATCATCCTTTGTATTAAGGATGACACTTGGGAGGCCAGGGCGGTTTTGTTGCACGCCTAGGATTTGTGTTCTCTAGAATAAAACCAAATGGTCCTGGACTGCCAAACCAAAATATGGTATCAGCTCTAATTTGATCCCAGAGTGGGCTCTAGAGCTGATCTGGTCTTCTGAGGGTCCCCAAGAAATAATTTCTGAACCAGAGAGAAATCATCTCCTTCCTGGATGAGGTGCCAGAGGAATGGTCTCACCAAATTCACTCCCTTATCGATCCATATTCTGCCTTGGGGTCCTGGGGTGGGTAGGGATAAGGATAAAGTGGGAGAGAATATAGTATTTATTTAGACATTAGGACTTATTCGCAGGAAGATAAGTGTTTCCTCTATAGCCATAGCCTTAACTGAGCCTTTTCCAAGTGGTGGGATATGTAACCATTGGAATTGTACAGACTGCAAATATATCCACCTCAATGTAGGAACTGCATTTCGGGGCATGGAGCACGAGGACTTCCAGACTAATTCAAAACCTGGAGAAGAGGGGGAACTGTCTGTCCTTCCTAGAGCATCCTTTCTCCCACCTGTCCTGCAGAGAGCCGGGCTGCCCACTGATCCCTGGGTCTCTGACGATGAGTACCTGTTGGCTCTTCTCTTTCCTTCTCAGGTATATGAGCAATAAGTCGTGTCAAAGGGCTAAAGAAAAGCAGATACCTTTTCCTGAAATACTTAAGGTACATTTTTGTACTTCAGAGCCTACCTCTCTTGGAGAGCTGCTCTGTGTGTGTGTGTGTGTGTGTGTGTGTGTGTGTGTGTGTGTGTGTGT